CGACGCGCGCGTCTACACTTCGTCCCATTTTCTCGCAGAGGATTCTCGCGACGGCACATGCGCAAGGACGTTCGACAGATTTCGACATGCGCGCGCGCGAAGCCCGTTTGGTAGCATTTTGCGAAAATCTTGAAAACCGATGATTTTCTTAGGATTTCGCAAGAACGCGCGCGGAAGTTTTTTTAGCAAATCTGTGTTGCGAAACCGCGTGTTTTTGTAGGTGTTTGGGCACACGATTTTGAAATCCTTCCGAAACCAATGGGTTGTCACGGATTTCGGCATACGCGCGCGACGACGCGCGCGTCTGCACTTCGCCCTGTTTTTTGCAGAGGATTCTCGCGACGGCACACGCGCAAGGGCGTTCGACAGATTTCGACATGCGCGCGCGAAGCCCGTTTGGTAGCATTTTGTGAAAATCTTGAAAATCTATGGTTTTCTTAAGATTTCGCAAGAGCTCGCGCGGAAGTTGTTTTAGCAAATCTGTGTTGCGAACCCCTGTGTTTTTAGGATGGACATGTGGTCAGAATCATATATGATTGACATACCCGGAAGGGGGACCGATAACGCGGGGGGGGTAGATCCTATTCTGTTTTTAGAAAGGAGAATCCACTTGCCGAACTTGAAGTTGTCCACTCCACCCCGCAACCTGGTTTGCAAAATCTCGTAAGACCGTGACGGTGGGTACCAGATGGCACTTGGCAACGACAGCGACGCCGACGACGACAGCGACGCCGACGACGACGACGCCGCCGACAACGACTACGACGACACCGACGACGTCTCCAACGACTTCGACGACGCCGACAACGACGACGACGACGACAACACCGACGACGACGACGACGACGACGCCGACACCGACGACGACGACGATGGCAACGACGACGACGATGACGACGCCGACGACGACGACAACGACACCGACGACGACGACGACGTCAACGACGACGACGACGACGACGGCGACGACGACGCCGACGTCGACGACGACGACAACGACGCCGACGCCGACGACGACGACGACGATGACGACGTCGCCAACGAAGACGACGAGGGAGGAGGGAGGACGACGACGGCGACAACGACGATAACGACGACAACGACGAGGGAGGAGGCAGGTCGGCGACGACGCGAATGACGAGGAAGGACGGCGACGCCGACGACGACAACGACGAGGGAGGAGGGAAGACGACGACGACAACGACGACGACGACGAAATAGGAGGGACGACGACGAGAAGCCGACGACGGACGACGACGACGAGGGAGGAGGAGGAAGGACGACCACGGCGACAACGACGACGGGAACGACCACGACGCCAAACAGGACGTCGACGACGAACACGAGGAAAGACAGAAGACGACGTAGGCGACGACGACGACGACGCGGGAGGAGGGAAGACGGCGACGACGACGACGACGACGCAAGAGCGCGCGCGCACGCTTTTGTTGAAAATCCGTGTTGCGAAACCTTGCGTATTTGTAGGTTCTTTGGACACACGATTTTGAAATCTTTCCGAAACTGGTGTTTTGTTTCAAGGATTTCGGCATACGCGCGCGACGACGCGCGCGTCTGCACTTCGTCCAATTTGTTGAAGAGGATTCTCGCGACGGCACAGGCGCAAGGGCTTTCGACAGATTTCGACATGCGCGCGCGAAGCCCGTTTGGTAGCGTTTTTTGAAAAGCTTGAAGAACCGATGGTTTTCTCAAGCTTTCGCAAGAGCTCGCGCGGAAGTTTTTTTTAGCAAATCTATGTTGCGAGCCCCTGTGTTGTTGTACGATTTTTTCCACAAGCAAAAAACTCGATTGCGAAATCTTTCCGGCACCGATGGTTTTTGAAGGATTTCGGCATGCGCGCGCGACGACGCGCGCGTGCGCACTTCGTCCCATTTGTTGCAAGGCATTCGCGAACATGTCTTCTGTTAGAACAAGATGAGTCCCCGCGTATGCTTTTTGACCAGGGAACCCCAAAAGGGGGCGATGGGGGGGGGGCTCTCTTGAAGTTGTCAACCCCACGGCTCGCGCAACCACCCCACCTGCCACCCGCAACCTGGCGTGCAAAACCCATGCGGGAGCGATTGCGATAAGTGCCGGGCGTTGGCTGGTGAATCTGTGCGGCCGCGCAAATCCAGGCATGCTCGCGCGCGCAGCGGCCAGGTAGTTTGGCGCGACCGACGCGAACGCGGCGGCGCTGACCGCTCGGCACATCCCAGCGGGCACTTCAATGCGAGTCGGCGACCTGGGCGGGCGCGGCATCATGGCAACGTCGACGACGGTAAGCGTGATGATGATAGTAGCGATGCTGGCAACGATGCTGACAACGACGACGGGGCAGCCAGCGACGGCGCCAATGATGATCACGCCGACGGCGATGGCGGCGTGTTCGCGTCGGTGATGAAGGTTTTGGATGGAGTTCGAAATGCGCGCGCGGCAGACGCGCGAGTGGCCTGAATGGTATTATATGACAAGGATCGCGCCACCCCAGCGCGCGCGCAAGGGCGTTCGAGCGATTTCAACATGCGCGCTTGAAGCCCTTTTGGTAACATTGCACGCAGCATGTTTTCTTAACGATTCGCAAGAGCACGCGCGAACGCTTTTCTTGACAACCCGTGTTGCGAATTTTTTTTAATATATCCGTTGGACACCCGATTGTGGAACCCTTCCGGAATCGATGTATTCTTCGTTGAAAATCATGATAATATCAGAAAGCATGACAAGGATTTCGGCATGCGCACGCAAATACGCGCGCGTGCGCAGTTCTTTTTATACTCGCAAAGGGTTCTTGCAAACATGTGAACTTTGATAAACGAACGCGCGCATAGTATTTTATCGCATTGCAGAGGATGGCGGAGGGGGGCGATGTCGACATGCGCGCCCCATGCCCGTCTGGTATAATTTTATGGAAAAGTTGAAAACATATTGTTTTCGTAAGAATTCGCAGGATCGCGCGCGCGCATTTGTTGAACATCCGCGTTGCGAAACCTTATTTAAAACGCGAGACTGTTTATTCTAAAAGAATGTTACGGGCACTCGTTTTTGAAATCCTTCCGGAACGGATGGTTTTTGAAGGATTTCAACATGCGCGCGCGACGACGCGCGCGTGCGTGCGCACTTCGTGTAAAATGTTGCGAGAGATTCTTGGAAGCTTCTGATTTTTGATAAACGAACGCGCGCGTTGAATTGTTTTTTTGCATTGCAGACGATGGCGGGGGGGGGGCGATGTCGACGTGCGCGCGCGAAGCCCGTTTGGTAACATGTTATGCACATATTGAAGACTTTATCTTCTTTTTTTGTAAGAATTCGCAAGATCGCGCGCGCACGCTTTGGTTGAAAATCCGTGCTACGAAACCTTTTTTCTTATTTATGTAGATCTAACAAAACATGTGCTTGGGGCGCTCTATTTTGACATCCTTCCGAAACCGATGGCTTTTGAAGGATTTCGGCATGCGCGCGACGACGCGCGCGTGCGCACTTCTTTTGAATTTTTGCAGACGATTCTTGAAAACTTTGACCTTTGATGAACGAATGCGCGCGGGGACTACTTTTGCAAGGGAACCGGGGGGGGGGGGGCATACCGGCCTGGCTGGGATAATATGAATTCACAGGCAGGATGGACAGTGGGTCAGAATTAAATGTGTTTTTTGTTTGCGACGGTTCCGGTTCCCGGGGGGTCGATAAGCCCGGGGGGGGGGAGGGTGGTAGAACCCATTTCCTGTCTAGAAAGAGGCCGCGACGAGGTGGCCGCCAGACTGACAGACTCGCCCAGGCGACGGCCGGCAACGGGGGCAATGCAGCCGCCAGGCCGACAGATAGGCACAGTGTCGCAAGGAATAGGCATACCCCCGGCATGCAAGCACTCTTTGGGGAAGACATGTGTATCCGTCCGCCCCTTCGTGGGGCCATCGGGCTGCGAGGATTAGGTTCCAGTGCCCTGCACCAATTCCAATTTCGAGTCCCCAATGACAGTCCTACTTTCTGCTTCCTGGTGTAAGCTGCTGAAGGTCGCGCGAGCGGGGGAACCGAAAAGCGCCCGGCTACCGCCCCCGAGTCGCGTTGTCTGAATTCCTGCGGGGCCGTGGGACAAGTACGCATACATGAGATTCGCGCTCCCGACGCAAGAATCCCTCGTACATTATGCTGTGTTCGCGTCCCCGAAGCCACTACCCCTTGCAAATTGCACCGCTTTCGTGCCCCCGAAACCACGATCCCTTGTAAAGTACGCCGAATTCGCGCGCCCGATGCCATGATGTCCCATGATTTTGGGTACGCTCGCGCCTCTGGGGCCATGATCCTTTGTTAACTACGCCACAATTGCGCCCCCGAGGCCACGATCCCTTATACATTACTAAATATTCGCGTCCCCGAGGCCAATAGCCCTTGCAAAAGATTCAACTGTTGCGTCCCAAAGGCGACCAACCCGAATACATTACGCAATGTTCGCGCCCCCGAGGCCATTAACCTTTTACTTATTATAAAATGTTTGCGCCCCCGAGGCAACACCCCAGTAACTTACTCACGTGTTGCGTCCCCGAGGCAACATACCCCCGTAACTTACGCAACTTGCCCTCCGCGCTCGTTCCCTCGTGCGCATGGACGTGTGAGCACGTCACCCGTGTAACCTGTTGGACCCCATGCCCCCCCTCCAGGCCGACATCAAGAGGATGGGGGGCCTGGCGGAGGAGATGTCGAGTGGACTTTTAATACTTGGCCATTCTCATCAGCTGGTCTTGCTGGCAGCGCGCATAATGGGGTTGCTCCAGAAGGGAAGGGGGGGGGGAGGCGACGTTGTAACTATGCAGGGGCTTCTTAGAAACGCTCCCGCCTTGTAGGAACTCTCCTCCGCATCCTCGCGGTAGCCCCTTGTGCACGCCGTCAACCTTGAATCAGAGAAGCTCGGCTTAGGAAATGTTGCCCCACGGTCTGGCCCAAGGTACCCGCTCCGAAGGCTCTCGACATCGCCACCACGACGTTCCACCTCACTACGTCTGCAGCCCAATCTCCTGTTCAGCCTTGGTCGCCCTCTTCTTGATCTCCTCGAGCATCTCCTTCAATGCCTTTTCACTCTCTGCATCCGCATCCTGGTGGGCCCCAGCCGACGAAAGAGCAGCGCAATTACGACAGAGAGATAACACATATCGTCCGAAGCACTTGCTGATTAGCTTCCTGCAAACATTCCCTGATGGCTACCTGCCCCTCTGAACCGATCGCCTACACAAAACGCAATTAGTGTAAAATTGGCGCGTCGCCCACCTTTCATTCGCAGGCTGGAGACGGACCAGACCATCCATGTGCACAGGCAAGCAACTGATCGTGTTTCGCCCCCTCCCCCCCATTCCCCCCCGCCCCCCCGGGAACGCTGCAACGTGTCCATCCTCCACGTTGGGCAGATTGCTGGCATGGCGAAATTCTTCTGGCACGTATGCCAAACGATACATCCCCTTTGACGCATCTGTGTGCCAACCGCTACTTTCACTGCCCTGCTGTGAGCCGAGCAACGCGGCGTGAGCCCTACGGTGCGCATGAACTAACTCAGATATTTACGTGTCCCGGCGTGTGCTGATGCGCGATGCTGCAGCGGAACACATGTAATCACGAATCAGATGCCCCAGACCAACTGCAGCCAAGCAATGCATGCTTATGTGGGCACTTGGAATGCAACCAAGCAGTGCATGCATACATAAACGTACACACACAACTGGTGTACGTTTCTTAACTCCGTGCGCACACACGCACACGCGCTCATGTTATAGTCAAGAGCGCACGACGGAGTTGAGCCATCTGGCACGACGGAGTTGAGCCATCTGGAAGAAAGATGGGCACGACGGAGTTGAGCCTGCAGTCGGTGAGAGAGGATGGGCACGACGGAGTTGAGCCATCTGGAAGAAAGATCGGATTGGGGAGAGGGACGGTGGAGGGAGGCGGCGGTCGCAGGAGAGAGAGAAAGAGAGAGATAGACGACGGGGGGTTGAGACGGAGGGTACGTAACTGAGAGAGGGAACGGGGAGAGGACTCCTCCTCTCTGCATCCCGCATCCTCCTCCTTCTCCGTACTGCCCCCCTGGGCTCGTGGACCTGGGAATCGAGGAAAATCTCCTCCTCCTCCTCCTCCTCCTTCTCCTCGACCTCTTCCTCCTCCTCCTCCTCTCTGCATCCCGCATCCTCCTCCTTTCCCGTACTGCCCCCTGTCCATGTTCATTTCTGCTGCTGCTGCTTCCTCGTCCCTCCTCATTCTCCTCCGCCTCCTATTCCCTCTACCTCCCACGCTCCATCTTCCTCCCTCCCCCTCCCTCGCAAGTCGTCTTCTGATCTTTCTCCCCAGATCCCTCTCCCCCTCCCTCCTCATCCTCCTCCTACTCCTCCTAGTGCTCATCCCTCCTCCTCCTCCTCCTGCTCCTGTTCCTCC